AACAACCAAAAGAAAACGCACACACACACACACAGAGTACATAAACTCATGCAAACAACAACAAAAACCACCACCAAACCTTAGTTCCCATATCACGATATCACTTTCCGAGGAAAGGATAAATCTCGTATCGCATGACACAACTCCCGTAATAAACCCTCCCGCCAACTTTTCTCGTGCAGCACGCCGAAAGCGCGCTCACGGCCTCGTTCAGGCAGCTCGTGCACTGTTCCGACGAGAGGTCCATGGTGCACTGCGCCATCCCGTACAGCGTCTTGTTCCCACTCTCCTTTTCCGGAAGCTCGACCGTACTTTCCGCGAACATCTCAGTTTTTCCATTTTCGGCCAGTTTCTCCAACAATTCCACGGCAGTTTTATTAAACTTCTCCGCGTGGCTTGCACTCTTCACGTTCACGAGCGCGAGCGAGTTTTCCGTGTCGACTCGTCTGAAAAACTCGCTATCCGAGTATTTCACGTAGCATTTGTCGTCGTACCAACTGATCCCTCTGCGTTTTCCGGGGCATTGGGTTTTCATGAGGTTTGACGTGGCGGTGCTGACGCACGCGTGGCAGTCATCGGGCCCGACGTCACCGCGGCATTGGGCCAGGCCGTAGGCCTGGCCCGAAGAGGCTTTTCGGAACCCCCCATTGTCCGGCCCGTTTATTTTTTTGAGATCGTCCATGAGACAGTTGAGGTCTTTCTCGAATGAGCTGTTTTGGGTGTAGTTCGAGCCGGTGCATTTGTAGGTGACGTAGGACTCGGCTTGGAACTGGAAGAGAAGGGAAGAGAGTATGGTAAGGAATGATATGATCAAGTAGTAGTAACTCATGATGTTTGGATTTGTTGATTTGGTAGGACGATTGATTGGAGTTTTTTTGCTAGTAATGTTGGTATTGGGTTGTTATGGAGTACTAACAAAATGTTGTTTAAATATAAGAATGATGGGTTGGTTCTTTATTAGGTGGAAGTTTTAAATTAAATATGTTATGTGTGTGAATATGCTGATTTGGTAGAGAAATTAGGGATTCACATGTTTGCTAGGGACTTGAAAACTCAGTCAAAGTAATACGGTAGATTCAGTCAAAGTAATTCGGTAAAACGAATAAATAGTACTTTACGATCTGATTGGATATTAATAAATAATAATAACTAGATTAATCAATCACAATTCAATTTAACTGAACTCTAATACTTTTTAACTCAACTCAGATTTGTGCTCGTTTTAAATTATTTTAGATTTTACTTGGTCCATTTAGTCATTTTGTGCTCTTTTATGTGTTTTTTATATCGTTTTAGTATTTTGTGCAGTTTATTTCTCTTCATAAATTATATTTGTCGGAAAATGCGCTCTAAATTTGCTTGAAGTCGCTAGAAAATCTCTAGAAAATTTCTGACGGATCGCCCCGATGGACATGAGCCCTGTCGCAACCAATTCCCGCACAAAGCCCCACGCTCGTGCAAGCTCGTCGCCGCACATCGCCCAGCGGTCGCGCGCCTGCCAGCCAGCAGACTCGTCAGGTCGTGAGTGCACGCCATCGCCGCACGTCTGATGAAGATCGTGTGTCTCGATAACTTGATTTGCTTTGAAAATCGCTTGCATAGTTTCCTTCTCGGCGATGGACGGTTTGGATTTCTCCTTATCTTCTCACGATTTTGAGGACAGCTCGGACGTGATGTCCTTTCTAAGCTAGAGCTTATGACGAATTATGCGATGAAACACCCTTTTCGGTACAACGATTTTGCACTAAAACTCAAAGAATCTTAACACAAGGATTTGGTGAACAATGTTCGATTTTTATTGCTTCATTGATGATAAAAAAATGTTGGTAACATCAGGTATTTAAAGAGAAAAACATAGCCTAATCCTATGCAAAATAAACTACTAACTTATGGAAAATAAATTAACTAAGGTTGTCTTGCTTGCTGGACAGGTCAGACCTAGGTCTGCTGGGCGCTGGCCGCAAACTTCTCGGACGTGGTCTCCAGCTGGCGTGTGTGCCCATTGCCACTGCGCAGATCTCACGCGCCAGACATCAGCGGGTCTGTTAGTATATGTGTCCTAGAGACAATCTTTTTGAGGACATATATACGTGATCACATTATATTGGATTATAATTATGGTATTGCAATTAATTAAATAATTGTTTGATTGTTTGTAATTTATTAATTGCTCCCTTGAGTTAATACTGTCATTAACAGAGTGAAATGTTAATTGATAAAGTATAACTCTCAAATCGCCTCAATCGATGATCATTAATAAATGGATATTAATGATAAGCGATAGATTGACCTGTGGTCTGCATCACATTCTTGGAGAATATAGTATGTCTCACTGCTATGAATAATTATTATTCGTGATGGACACATGGATACTTTGAAGAGTATTGGAATACTCTACCGATAAACCATTTGTTTATGTGTCTATGGGAGTATCGGTGTGTGGAATGGTGAGGTCAATACGCAATTCATGTATAGAGTGATTTACTTAGACCTAGTCCAACGCTTACGCCCTTATGGGTAGACACGGGCTTGTGTTGGGTAGATCACGATATGCATAGAATTGGTAGTTGAGCCAAAATAGGATTCATTCCTCGAATATAGTTTCGAGAGAACACTCGTTTTCTCCATACTGGGTTAATAAAGTCATTGGCCAATGCATGTGATTATATTTGAAATGGTGTTCAAATATAATTAATAAAATCAACCAGTGAGATGAGATAAAATGATTAAGCTGTTTGGATAGACATACGTTCAAATCCTAAGCTTAATCGAGTGGTTCGTGAATAAAGGGACCGTATCACTATTGAATTCTACACCAAAGCTTTGTTTGCTTTGTCTATGTAAACGTACTTCATATTTTGAGTTCGTCCTTCGACGCAGTCTAGGAGTTTCGTAAGGATCGTAAATTAGATTTATGTCAATATATGAAGGCCTATAGGGTCACACAATATGCAATCTATTTTCTGGCTAAGAGTGAATCGAGAGTGTTAAATATTCAATTAGATTGAAATATTTATTTTTGAGTAATATTGAGATTATTTTCTATTTGATAGAAAATATTTAATTAAGTTAAATTGGACCTACACTTAATTAAATCATTAATTGGACTGGGTCCAATTACCTATTGGGCTAGGTTATCCTAAAGCCCATATAATTAGATTTAACCTAATTATAAATAGGTGGTTATCTCTTCATTAGATGAGAATAGAAGATCATTAGATGAGAAAATGAGATACGCCGTAAATCACAAAATACTCTCTGGCTTTCTGACTGAGGATTCCTAGCATCTTCACCCGAAAGGATTCATTACGTTGGATCGTGCACCGGGATCTGGATTGCGTGGATACCATAGTTGAAGACAAAACTTAAACTGTAAGTTTTCGTGTATCATTCACGCGATCTAGGATCGTATCGAATAGCTATAGCCGAATCTTCGTTTTTGGTAAGAAAATTTTAAAATTCCGCTGCGCGTGCGATTGATTCGTACAAAATCATGAAGGCGAGTCGAGGGGTGACGGGTGCAATGACCACAACCTAATAGCTCGGTAGACTCAGCGGGGACCGAAACCGAAGAACCCCCCCTGTCGGTGGAAGAACCAGACGTAACAGGCGGGTCAACCACAACAGCCGGAGGCACAACAACTGGATGATCATCGTCCTCGTCCAAAGTAAGAGGCCAAGTCACAATAGAAGGCGACGAAGTGGGCGAAAGAGCAGAAGAAGATGTCCCATAAGGAAATTCCGCCTCAACAAACTCAACATCTCGTGAAACCAAAGCACGTTCCAAATCATAAACACGCCAGCCTTTCTTTCCAAGGGAATATCCCACAAATACACACCGACGACTGCGACTAGCAAATTTGTCCCCATGTCTATCACGATTATACGCATAGCATAAACACCCAAAAACTCGCAACTGAGAATAATCAGGAAATTTCCCATAAAGCATCTCATACGGAGTTTTGTTGCCTAGAACATGTGACGAGGTGCGATTAATTAAATGAGCACCAGTAAGAACATAATAACCTCAGAATTGAAGAGGTAGATGGGCTTGGAAGCGCAAAGCACGAGCAATATTAAGAATATGTTGGTGCTTACGTTCAACACGCCCATTTTGCTGAGGTGTACCCACACAAGAGGTTTCATGTAAAATACCTTCACGACGAAAATAATCACTCATGCACACAAATTCAGTACCATTGTCACTTCGAACTACACGCACCAATGTGCCGAATTGCCGTTTAACCATAGCAAAAACATTTATCAATATTGAAGAAACCTCTGTCTTATCAGTAAGTAAATAAATCCAAACACCACGAGAAAAATCATCAACGATGGTAAAAAAATATCTAGATCCACAAAAAGCCGGAACCCGATAAGGTCCCCACAAATCACAATGTACCAGATGAAAAATGCCACTGCTCACAGTATTACTAAGAGAAAAACTGTCTCTAGTCTGTTTTGCTCGAAAGAAAACATCACACGATTTATTCAAAACAGAAAATTGAGAATCAACGAAAGGCAAATGTGACAAGACACGATTCGATGGATGTCCAAACTGCTGGTGCCACAAATCAGCAGAAACCTTTACCACTCGAGCAGATGAAGCTGAAACTGCCCCCCTAAAGAAGTATAGTCCCCCTAGTTGCTCACCCGCTCCAGTCACCATCCTCGAAGTGCAATCCTGAATGACACAAAATTTGTTAGTAAAGTGTGCCGTACAACCTGACGTATTCGGCAATTGGTATAAGGATATTAAACTGCACTGTAAACTGGGTACAAACAAGACATCATGTAAAATAATAGACGATCCCAAATAAACAGTGCCCAATTTACTGGCAGACGTCAAAAACCCATTGGGTAACTGAACGGGGCGAGCAAGTATGTCACGAACATAGACAAAAATTCCATAAAACCAGTCATATGATGAGAAGCACCACAGTCATACACCCAGTCATATAAACTCTGCTAACCAGACGACTTACTCTCCTGTTTAGCAGAATTAACTAAATGAACAAGTTGAGTCCATTGTTCATCCGTCAATCCACTGAGAACACGATCGGAAGAAGCCAGACCCGCATTTGAATTGGCCCGAACCTGGACAGCTGCGGCGGCAACATTAGCTTGCACAGGAGCTCCGCCGCTACGGCCACCGCATCCGCGCCGTCCACTAAGACGGCCACCACCACCACGGGGATACCACTCCGGGAAGCGGATAACCTCAAAACAACTGGCCGCGAGATGTCCGGTTTTTCCACATTGAGAGCACAACCTCTGTCGGCCTCCGCCACCACCCGCAGAACCGCCGGAGTGATCAAGTGAAGAGGTCGTCACCGGCAGGACAGAACCAGTCGCCGGCAGCGTATGAAGAGGTCCGCCACCAGTGCGCCCACCGCCGACAGCACCGTCAGGCCCGCGAGAGAACAAAACCGGGCTTGTTCAAATGGCGAAACCGGCAGCAGTCTCAATGTTGTCGTCGGCGATCGAGATGGTGCGTATTCTTTCCTCCTGGATGCAAGTGGAGTAAACCCGATTCAACGTCGGGAGAGGATCTTGGGCCAACAAATTCGACCGAGTGGGACCATAGAGTGTGGGATCCAAACCTTTGAGAAATTGATTAACTTTCTCACTTTCTTGTTTTCTGTTCCAATCAACGTGCAAATTGCACTGACAAAGACCACATTGACACAAGGGGGGTTTATCATAATCTGCCAATTCTTCCCAAAGTTTGGAAATTTTACCGTAGTAGGCTTCAATACTCATGCCCTTCTGTTTACAGGCCGCAAGATCGGACTTGAGTTGTTGAATTCGGGGACCATTCTTCATTTTAAATCTCTCTTTCAAGGATGACCAAAGTTCCTCGACAAATTCCGATTCCACCACGGAAGATTGGAGTGTGGTATCGATGCTGTTCATAAGCCATGAGAGCAACAGAGAGTTGTTGGCTTGCCAATCTTCAAACAACTCGTTGTCGGCAGCAGGCCGCGCGATCGATCAATCCAAAAAGCCGAACTTCTTGCGCGCGCGAAGAGCGGTGCACATGCTACGGGACCATTCTTCGTAATTAGTATCTCCTTTTAATTGAACTTGAGTAATCAAGAGGCCATGATTATCGTTGGAGGTGATATCGTAGGGAGAAATTGTTTTTCTCGAAACACGCTCGGTAGCGGCCATGGGAGAGAAAAAGAGAAGAAACGCGGAGAAGAGAAGAGGAAGGAAAAGAAAAAAAATGGAAAAGATTATCCCACAGAGAAAAAATTATCCTTCTCTGATACCATGACAAAGTTGAGAGAAGAAGGATGTTGAGCGAGTCATCTAATCTGATGATCTCGTGTACGGCGCTCCATATATATTAAAACAAGTAGGGTTACAAGATTACACAAATACTTGCTCTACAAGAAACTAACTAAACTAAGAGTACAAAAGAGAATATACAATAAACTACATCAACAATTGCCGAAAACAAATCTTACACAAAATAAAAAAAAATAAAAAAAAAGTGTCCGGCCGGCCGAACCGGACGGGCCGGTTCCGACCGGCCGTCGCCGCCGGACGGTTTTTAACCCATCCGGCCGGCCGGTTCGGACAGGGACGGTCCGTCCGGCCGAAATTTCCGGCCGGCTTTTACCTCGTCCGTACCGGCCGGCCGGACGGGTTAAAAACCGTCCGGTTCCGGCGGTTGGACAGGCTAAAAGCCGTCCAGATCCGGCGGTTGGACAAAAATTTTTCGTACCTCGGAATTTAACGACATTTCACCGTACACTTTGCTCTGCAATGTTTGGAAAAAATGAAAAGGGCAAAATTGTCCAAGGGGTCGGTGTCTAGTAAAAAGGGGGCGGTGTTTAGTACCGAGTAATTTATTTAACTAAAAATAAAAAAAAATAAGTGGAGAAAAATAAAAAAATAAAAAAAAAAAGTGGAAAAAAATCAAAAGGCCGGATTCTCGTAATCCGTTTTTCAAAAAAAAATATTTTATTCAAAAAACGGATTTTCATAATCCGTTTTTATTTTTTATTTTTTATATTTATTTTTTATTTATTTTTTAATTAATAATATTAAAAAAAACATAAAAACGAATTTTAAAAATTCGTTTTTATTTTTTATTTATTTTTTATTTTTTTTAATTAATATATAAAAAATTTAAAAAAAAAACTTAAAAACGGATTTGCAAAATCCGTTTTTAATTTTTATTTTATTTTTTTATTTTTTAAAAGATAACGGGCGATTACACAATAATTAACCAAGATTGTACTAATTTGACTTTAATTGGACTAATTCGAGTTCGATTACACTATAATTAACCGAGATTGTACTAATTCGACTTCAATTGGACTAATTCGAATTCGATTACACTATAATTGACCGAGATTGTACTAATTCGACTTCAATTGGACTAATTCGAGGTCGATTACACTATAATTGACCGAGATTGTACTAATTCGACTTCAATTGGAATAATTCGAGTTCGATTACACTATAATTGACTGAGATTGTACTAATTCGACTTCAATTGGACTAATTCAAGGTCGATTACACTATAATTGACCGAGATTTGTACTAATTCGACTTCAATTGGACAAATTCGAGGTCGATTACACTATAATTGATCGAGATTGTACTAATTTGACTTCAATTGGAGTAATTCGAGTTCGATTACACTATAATTGACCGAGATTGTACTAATTTGACTTCAATTGGACTAATTCGAGGTCGATTACACTAAAATTAACCGAGATTGTACTAATTTGACCAAGATTGTACTAATTTGACTTCAATTGGAGTAATTCGAGTTCGATTACACTATAATTGACCGAGATTGTACTAATTTGACTTCAATTGGACTAATTCGAGGTCGATTACACTATAATTGACCGAAATTGTACTAATTTGACCGAGATTGTACTAATTCGACTTTAATTGGACTAATTCGAGTTCGATTACACTATAATTGACCGAGATTGTACTAATTCGACTTCAATTGGACTAATTCGAATTCGATTACACTATGATTGACCCAGATTGTACTAATTCGACTTCAATTGGACTAATTCGAGGTTGATTACACTATAATTGACCGAGATTGTACTAATTTTACCGAGATTGTACTAATTTGAATTCAATTGGACTAATTTGACTTCAATTCGACTAATTCGAGTTCGATTACACTATAACTGACCGAAATTGTACTAATTCGACTTCAATTGGACTAATTCGAGGTCGATTACACTATAATTGACCGAGATTGCACTAATTCGACTTCAATTGGAATAATTCGAGTTCAATTACACTATAATTGGCTGAGATTGTACTAATTCGACTTCAATTGGACTAATTCGAGGTCGATTACACTATAATTGACTGAGATTTGTACTAATTCGACTTCAATTGGACAAATTCGAGGTCGATTACACTATAATTGATCGAGATTATACTAATTTGACTTCAATTGGACTAATTCGAGGTCGATTACACTATAATTGACCGAGATTGTACTAATTTGACTTCAATTGGAGTAATTCGAGTTCGATTACACTATAATTGACCGAGATTGTACTAATTTGACTTAAATTGGACTAATTCGAGGTCGATTACGCCATAATTGACCGAGATTGTACTAATTTGACCGAGGTTGTAGTAATTTGACTTTAATTAGAGTAATTCGAGTTCGATTACACTATAATTGACCGAGATTGTACTAATTTGACTTCAATTGGACTAATTCGAGGTCGATTACATTATAATTGACCGAAATTGTACTAATTTGACCGAGATTGTACTAATTCGACTTTAATTGGACTAATTCGAGTTCGATTACACTATAATTGACCAAGATTGTACTAATTCGACTTCAACTGGACTAATTCGAATTCGATTACACTATAATTGACCGAGAGTGTACTAATTCGACTAATTCGAGGTCGATTACACTATAATTGACCGGGATTGTACTAATTTGACTTCAATTGGAGTAATTCGAGTTCGATTACACTATAATTGACCGAGATTGTACTAATTCGACTTCAATTCGACTAATTCGAGGTCGATTACACTATAATTGAACTAGATTGTACTAATTGGACTTCAATTGGAGTAATTCGAGTTCGATTACACTATAATTGAGCGAGATTGCACTATTTTGACTTCAATTGAACTAATTCGAGGTCGATTACACTATAATTGACCGAGATTGTATTAATTTGACTTCAATTGGACTAATTTGACTTCAATTCGACTAATTCGAGTTCGATTAAACTATATTTGACCGAGATTGTACTAATTCGACTAATTCGAGGGCGAGTACACTATAATTGACCGAGATTGTACTAATTTTACTTCAATTGGAGTAATTCGAGTTCGATTACACTATAATTGACCGAGATTGTACTAATTTGACTTCAATTGGACTAATTCGAGGTCGATTACACTATAATTGACCGAGATTGTACTATTTTGACCTCAATTGGACTAATTCGAGGTTGATTAGTACAATCTCGGTCAATTATAGTGTAATCGATCTTGAATTAGTCCAATTGAAGTCGAACTAGTACAATCTCGGTCAATTATAGTGTAATCGAATTCGAACTAGTCCAATTGAAGTCGAATTAGTACAATCTCGGTCAATTATAGTGTAATCGAACTCGAATTAGTCCAATTGAAGTCGAATTAATACAATCTCGGTTAATTATAGTGTAATCGCCCGTTATCTTTTAAAAAATAAAAAATTAAAATAAAAATAAAAAACGGATTTTCAAAATCCGTTTTTAGGTTTTTTTTATATATTAATTAAAAAAAAAACGGATTTTTTAAATCCGTTTTTAATTTTTTTTATATTATTAATTAAAAAATAAATAAAAAAATAAAAAAATTAAAAAATATAAACGAATTTGGAAAATCCATTTTCTAACAAAAAATAAAAATAAAAATAATAAATAATTAAAAACGAATTCTCAAAATCCGTTTTTCAAGCAAAAACAGATTCCGAGAATCCGGCTTTTGATTTTTTTCCACTCTTTTTTATTTTTTTTATTTTTCTCCACTTATTTTTTTTTTATTTTTAAATAAATAAATAAATCAAAGAAACTAGTCAAATAACATTCGAAGGCCCTCATCTTTACATTAATTACATTTCTCATATTTATTCTTTCTCTCCCCTATTTGCTCATCGATTTCGATTTTCGACCCAAAATGCAAGAGCCCGGAGCTTGAGTTTCAGTGCAAATCGAACTGGGCTTCGATCGGCTGCCGTTTAATCGGTGCTCGTAAACCTAGATTTCTTAAGCTCCCATGGCCGATACTTCCAAGGAAGATCTTCTGGAGCTGATCAAGCGTGTCGGAGCTTTTATCTCCCTCAAGTTTTCCGATCTCTTTCATCAACTGGTTCGCCTTTATTCTCTGTATTTTACTTTTATTTTTTTGTGTTTTTTTTTTTATGATATTGTCTTTGGTTGCTTGTTTAATCTTTGGCTATGCCTTCCTTCCTGAAGCAATCTGTATACTATGGTGTTTTGTATCCTTGATGTTCGATGGATTTATACTGTTGTGGTTCTGGAAATTTGAGCTTCAGGATTTTGCTGAGCATTTGTATTTTTGGTTTTGTTGTTTGAATTCAGTAGTCGAGCTATGTGTATTTTGGGTTTCTTTTATGAGGGTCTGCTTTGATGAGAGCAAAATTGGTGAATATGGGTTTCATCATATGCTATTTATTGACGCTAAAACTCAAGAGAAACGAAAAAACGCAAATTCTTGTGAGAGGCAACCTAACCATTGGTGGGTCTACCAGTACGTTTTCAACAAAACTGCATATTTATGTTATAAAATCCCATGCTTCTGTGTATGCTGTTTTTTCTTTTAATAGTTAATATGTCTGGTTAGGCCTCCCTATTAGTAATCTTATTGTGCATACAACTGTTTGCCTGTGTTAGTGATTTCTTGATTGTCACCTTTCTAAACTAAGAATAAAATACCACCTCCTTCAAAATAATGTATCTGAACATTTGACTACATTTCAGGATTCGCGATCTGTTGGGGCAGTTGCAGGGTTAGCATTTGCAATATTTTTTACTTGGAGACTATTGCGAACACCTAATGCACCTCAAACAAGGCAACCTAAAAGGCAAGGCCCAACATCTAGTGGTTCCTTTGTTGGTACCCAAGAAAGCATAGATGCCTCATCCTCCAGGGTTAACAATCCTTCAGAAGATTCTAGAACCCAGGATGTGATTGACGAGTTCTTTCAGCCCGTGAAGGTAAGCAGAGGCTTCTGTTCTTCATTTCTTTTGTATGCACTGTGTTGAAGTGAAGTCACTCAGTCTGATTTTCTGTCTATGCTCTGCAGCCAACTCTTGGGCAAATTGTTCGGCAAAGGTTGCGTGAAGGAAGAAAGGTAATCTTTCAATGTCTAAGTGATCTTTATTGCAGTTCACTGTACTTTGGCTTTATTTTTTTCCAAGTGGCTGCATGAGAGTTAAGAATCATCATTGACTGACAGTTGGAAATATATTCTCTACCTTTATTTTGTATAAATACAGTGACGGATCTACGAATTTTACTCATGGGAGCCCATTTTAAATGTTAAACAACGAGTTTGTAGTTTATGTCGAAACGCTCATTTGATATAAATGTGTTTGTCCATTGCAAATGGAGCTGGAAGAGTCATTGTTGACAATTCTCCTGGCATAGTGCTAATAATGGACTAGATCAAAATGGCTCAATTAAATTCTAGTGCTTCTTCTATTAGTGAAGTTTCTAAAAAAAAAAAATATATCAAACGGCGCAATGCACCTTGGGTCGCTACGGAAACAGCCTCCTTGTATAATTACAAGGGTAAGGTCTGCGTACAACTTACCCCCCAGACCCCAACCTGTTGGGAATATACTGGGTATGTTGTTGTTGTTGTTATGAATATAAATATCGATATGTGTACCATCAAGTTTTAAAAAACTTAAAATCCGTATCATCCTCAAACATTTTAAAAAATAACAAAAAAAAAAAATCATGTATTTATAATTTAAGTTCAACATCTATAATTTATGGAATAAATTTTTTGGTTGAAAATTTGATTTAAATTGAACTTTTACAGCATATTGCACAACATTTGTGTTGATGAGAGCTTATCAAATGGCCATTTTTTTTAAAAAAAAAAATCAAGTTAAAAATACGTGATTACATAAAAAAAAAGTAATAATTAACATTCAAAATCTAACAATTCAATTAAATACTAAATTTTATAAATCACTAAATCAATTACAATTAAGAGGCCGAAAGAATAAATCATTATAAATATTTTCAAAAACTTATTTAGAAATGTAAAATATCAGGATTGTTAGTATATTTTTCAATAAATAAATAATATTATTAATTTAAATTAAAATAGCATAGTAACTAAGTTGTAATTAATTATTTATTGTAAATATTTTTTCAATTTTATCCATTATATATTGTAATCAGGGGGCCCACGGGCCCTCGTGGACCTAATGTAAATCCATCTTTGTATAAGTATATCCTTTTCGATATCAGCATGGTGCATATATTGTTTCAATGAATGCTTGATTCTGACATGATCCTGTTTCGGATTATGTGTTATTGTTTCTAATGAAAACCAAATTTACTTTCTTCTTCTATGACTTGACCGGTGCAGGTAACATGTCAGTTGGTTGGTGTTATTCTTGAGGAAAGCAGTCCTGAGGAGCTGCAGGTTGGCTATTGTCACTTTTTTTTTTTTTTTTTTTTTTTNATATATAAATCATTACAGAAAAAACGATCATTCTTGTGTTGATTTTTGGCAGAAGCAAGCAACTGTCAGATCATCTGTTCTAGAGGTTCTGCTTGAGATCACTAAGTTTTGTGATCTTTATCTTATGGAAAGAGTGCTGGATGATGACAGCGAAGTAAAGCCCCATATACTTCTTATCGTAATTTGTTATTCATTTATTCTTTCGTCATGGTGGAGTTTCTATATATACTACTAGCCTTATATTTGGTCTGTAGAGATCTTCAGAGTTTATAGTCAATATGTTACTTGTATTCTTTTATTTCTATCCCTTTGTGGCTTAATATGATTATTGACCTATTCATCTCTCTCTCTTTTCATAATTGTATTATTATTCCCTTATCCATGTATAATTGCTTGAAGATCACTTATATGCTGGATGAATTTGTGCAGAAGAATGTTCTTACAGCATTAGAAGGTGCTGGAGTATTTACGTCTGGTGGCCTAGTCAAAGATAAGGTAATGTCTGAGATCATTATTTATGATCTTATTGGAAGACTAATCATTTTTTCTTTCCCTGTTGATCTACTGGTGTTATATGCTCCGTCTTATTTATTGTTTATATGTTTTTGCCAAATCTGTCTCCGAATGGCTATACATCTGCTTAAATGCAGCTCGTGACAATGTAAATGGCTTTGACTGAATTGAAAACTCGCAGGTTCTTTTCTGCAGCACAGAAAACGGGCGGACTTCATTTGTAAGACAACTAGAACCCGATTGGCACATAGACTCCAATCCTGAAATTGTTACCCAGTTAGCCGTATGTTACCACCTCTACTCTTTCTTAACAATTCTGATAATTTTTTTTTTTTTAAATATATTGTACTTGCTTTATTGGAGCATTGAAGATTGAAATCCATGAGGGTTTTGTGATGCATTTTATAATTCGTTCTGTACTTAATCTGTTTTGAGAAGCTTGACAATAACCGATAATACTTTTAGTTGCGGTACAGTACTAATAATGAACTATTTTACGGTACACTTTCAATATCTTCATTAATCTTTGTCCATCTGCTGTGAGAAGAAAATCTTCGTGTGACTTATGACTCTTTTTTTCCTCTCGTTTTTAATTCTTCAGAGATTCATCAAGTATCAGCTTCACGTCTCACCTGCCAAGCTCGAAAAGCCTTCCCCCAATGTCTTCTCAGCAACATCCTTGGAACAATTCTTTGGATGCGCCTAATTGTAACAGTGGTAAGCAATATATCTAAATTTTTACTCGAAAAATTGCATCTTTTTTCTTTGATCTCAATTAAAATTGATATTTGGATTTCTTCATCTACTGCAGCTGCTGATTTCTTAAAGCAAATATCTTCTGATACAAGCATAAAACTTCAGCCACATTGAGATAGTGTATTGTGGATGGTTTACAATGGCTTTGCTCGTTGCTCATGATTTTTTTTTTTTTTTTTTNACTCAGCTAACGGCTAACTGCCTTTCCTGTCACAACCGCTGTATCATTTTCTTCTTTTCAACTATTTTTAGCTGTAGTTAGCACATCAAAATATATCCAATTGGCATTGCCAGAATGTGTGGCTTTTTTATTTAAAAAAACAAAGGAGAATATTTGTTTTATCTGTATTCTTTGGAGAATGAAAATGTGTGTTTTATCGGTAATATATAGTTACAGAAATTTTATGTCTACATTCATGTCAAATGTATATATTTGAAATTGAAAGTAAAAGTTTTTTTAATGATAGAAAATATAAAATAAGTTAAATAACACCGCCTTTATTTATTACCTGCTAGATGCAGGAAAGGTCTATGTTGCGTTACTTCGCATTCAGGAAAGGGTGCTAAATCAACTCACTCTATTTTCTGGACAAAAAGGCCTAGTTAAATTATACTATTAATACAATGTATTATTTATTTATCTTATAAAAATTGCTATGTTTTATCCATAAAAACTATATATTCCAAACTGTACTATATATTTCAAACTGCACTCGTTTGGTTGTTGGTATATTAATTCTCACATATATATATTGATCCTTAGCTAATTAATTTGTTTGATAAATAGTTTATTTGATATATATGAAAAAGTTCAATAAAATAAAATCTTGGATTGAAATAATCCATTAAGCACTCATAAATATAATATTTTTTAAAAATATAAATGGAGTATTTATCATTCGATCATCTAGAAAATGCAAATACAATTGAGTAATTAAATTATTGATTACTATAAGTATTGATTAATTTGGTAATCAAATTATATAATACTATCATCTATCCATACATGCTACCAGAATTAGCTACCCGCTATTAGCTAATACACGAACTAATCATCGTATCACACTAATTTACTAAAGTAAAATTATAGTTTTTAAATCCGGCCAGAAAATCGATCTGAACAGACTTTCGAGTCAATTGTTGAACTGTAATATTAATTTTAAAATTTTAAAAGTCATTATATATATATATATATAGGGATTGGTTCCAATGCATCCACTTATTTAAAATGAGGACGTGAGATTCATTTTTAGCCACAAGATTTGGTACATCATGTGTGGCCAAGATTTACTCTTTTCTTTTTATTATTTAATTATTTAAATATTATTTTGACCCATTGACTCCGGCGTTGACCGTTGACTTCCGGGTTGGTTTCCTGCGAAATCCATTGACTTTCGGCGTTGACCGTTGACAACTAACCTTCCAACTAGGTTAGTTCTATGTAGTTGCTAAGCTAGTTCTCTGTAGTTGTTAGGTTAGTTGTCTGTAGTTGCTAGGTTAGTTCTCTATAGTTGCTAGGTTAGTTCTCTATAGTTGCTAGGTTAGTTCTCTGTAGTTGCTAAGTTAGTTCTTTGCAGTTGCTAGGTTTTTATTTTTTAAACAAACGCCCCCGAGGGGCGGGGGATTGGGCTAGATCCCTAACCTGTGCATAGATCAAGACCCCAAAACAGGGCCAACAAATCAACAGTCTACAGTCTACAGAGTCTCAAAAGCAAAACAACAGAGAAATAACAATACAAAGTATGTCTTCGGGCTAGCAGGTGCCCGGAAATAAAAATCTAATCTACTGAAAGCAATAAACTTAATCTACTGAAAGTGGAACGATGGATATCCAAGCTGGTCCATCCGTACGAGCGTGCGAAGGCGGAGTGGAGCAGTGTCGGTCTGAAACGTATGTGGATCTAGTATGGTGGCGCCAAGGCTGGCAAGGTAGTCCGCAGGTCTGTTCCCCTCACGGAAAATGTGCGTGATCCTGTGATGGACAGACCGGAGTAGAGCTCTAATACGAATAAGCGGGTGCTGAATCTGCCACGGGCCCTGGTGGCCCGAAGTCAGGAGGGTGGCGACAGCCGCAGCGTCTAGCTCGATCCAAATATGGCTAGAGAGGTGGACAACAATCTGAAGGCCTGTAATGCCTGAATCTCTGCATCGTAGCTCGAGAAGGCCTGAAGGGGCGCGTGGAAGGCGGTGATGAGGGCGCCGCTGTGGTCCCGGATCAAGCCTCCTCCTCCGGCAACTCCGGTATGACGATCAAAAGAGCCATCAATGTTCAGCTTGACCCACAGAGAGTCAGGTCGAAGCCAAACAACAGCTCTGGCCCGAGGAGGCCGAACAGGCGGTGGGGGGGCCACCATGTAACGGTGTGGCGGCGTGCAACCTGTCCAGTCTCGGACCGTGAGCCTGTCCAATGCTATGAGGAGTGAAATGTGTCTCTCTACCTGCAAAACAATGTGAGAAAACAAAAAAGTAATATCCCTATGCTTCGCACTATTCCTCTCTGTCCAGGTGAACCAAAGGATCAGACAAGGAATGAGGAAGCCCACGTGTCTAAGGTGTGTGCTCTGTGAGAAAAAACTGAGGAGCTCAAAGAAACTGTCTGTAGTGGGTAGGGATATATGGGTCCAAGTGGCAAAATGCTCCCACACTCTCCTCACAATCTCACTCTCTAGAAAAAAGGTGGGTAAAGGTCTCGGTCTCATGGCGTCCAGCCTCAGAACAACACACACACACCGAGAGGAGAAGGAGATCCTCCTCGCATGTAACACAGTGTCCACGGGTATCCGGCGCAATAGGAGGTTAGTTCTCTGTAGTTGCTAGGTTAGTTCTATGTAGTTGCTAGGGTAGTTCTCTGTAGTTGCTAAGTTAGTTCTCTGTAGTTGCTAAGTTAGTAGTTGTTAGGTTAGTTCTATGTAGTTGCTAGGTTAGTTGTCTGAAGTTGCTAAGAGCTGTCCGCATTTTAAGAGCTGGGCGCATTTTAAAAGCTGGCCGCATTTGATCCGCCCCTATATATATATATATAGGGTAAAATATACATGACCCCCCTGTATTATACGCAATCTGCACGTTTTCTCCTAGTATTTTAAAAATTGCGTCAGACCCCCTTCATTAAGGTTTTGCATGCGCGAAACACCCTAAACCGTCTAAGATGACGGAAGTGGCGTGCACGCGCGTGCTGTGCGGCTTTTTCTTCATTTTTTCACCTCAAAGTGGTGGAAATTACTGTTTTACCCCTGAATTATGTGCAAAACCTAAATGATATGAAATGTGGGCAACAAGATTCGAACTTGGGCCAAAAGCTACATAGCAAAGCTTCCAACCACTGCGCCACCATCACTTTGTGGAACATACCTAGCACCACTTTTATTTAGAACAACAACATAGAGAAAAACTTAATCAAAACAAAAAATAAAATAATAAAAAAAGAAGTAACTATAAGAAAATATAATTAATATAAAATAAAATAAAAATTAAATTAGAATAAACCTATGTGTTAAATTTGAAAATAATAAATAAATAAATATATTACTAATTAATATAATAATAAACTAATAATTTTATTTAAACAAAAAAATAAAAAAATAAAATAATCACAAACTNGGGACGAGGTGTCGTCCCGGACCGGTTCAAAAAACTGGGGGGTAAAATATACATAACCCCCCTGTATTATACGAAATCTGCACGTTTTCCCCTGTTATTTTAAAAATTGCGTCAGACCCCCTTGTATTTAACTAACTGTTGCACGATTCCCCCCCTCCGTCTAACTTGACGGCGCGTGCAGTACACATTGGTCTTATGCGATAATTATTCACTTTTTTCTTATTTTTTATTTTAAATTTACTATTTTGCCCCTTGTTTTTCATGCCATTATTGACAAAAAATGATTTGTTGCTCCTAGGATTCGAACTTGGGCCAAAAGCTGCATAGCAGAGCTTCCAACCATTGCGCCACCATCATTTTGTGGAACATACCTAGCACCACTTTTATTTAGAACAACAACACAGAGAAAAACTTAATCAAAACAAAAAATAAAATAATAAAAAAAGAAGTAACTATAAGGAAATATAATTAAGATAAAATAAAATAAAAATTAAATTAGAATAAAATATAATTTATTCCATTATTATATTTTTTATAATATAGAATATATTTACTCCATTATTATAAAATATATATACTGAATTATTATATTATTTATAATTTTTAATTATCATTATATTATTTATCTTATATGATCTATTTACTTAATTATATATTACTTATAATTTAGATTATATTTACTTAATTTTTATATTATTTATAATTTTGAATCTATTTATTCAATTATTACAAAATCTACATACTAAATTATTATATTATTTATAATGTAGAATCAATTTATTCACTCATTTATTATTTTTAATTTGATATATATTTAATGAATCATTTTATTATTTATAATATAGAATAATATTTATGCAATCATTATATTATTTATAATTTAGAATATATTTATTTATTATATTATTTTCGTCCAGCATTATATATATATATATGTATATATATATATATATATATGAAATCACATTTATACCTAAATGACTAGTAGTCCAGTTGGTGGGGAATTCACTTTTACAACCCAAAGGTCATGGGTTTAATCCCCACCCTTGGTACTTTAATTTTAAGTCAACATATTTGACAATAATGGCATAATGGTAAATTCATTGATAATGTAAAGGTGGAATGGTAAATTCGACAAAAAAGTAACGCCGTCAGCACTAAAGTAACGGCGTTAACATCAAAGGGCGAGTATGCATGCAGATATTAAATACAAGGGGATTTGACGCAATTTTTTAAATATCAGGGAAAAACGTGCAGATTTCATATAATACAGGGGAATTTGGTACAATAAACCCTATATATATTCTTATAATATTAATATATATAAAAGTAACATAAATAAATGTTTTGCATATAAATTGTACATCAGAGTATTAACAATATGGGTTCTCATAATAAATATTTATATTTACCATATAAATATACATACATAGTATTTTTAAATAAAAAATATTTTAATTAAGATATAGTGATCGGGTCAAATCGGGTTGACCAGTTCAGATTGATGCCCGAGTTGACCGGGGTCAAAGCCAGGTTGATCTAGACATGGCCATTTTCTGATTTCGAGCCTAGGGTTGGAGGGCCCTGAAATGGCAGTTCCAGGATTGTCTTGTTCGATTAAACAAAAAAATAATATATATATTTTTAAAAAGGACCGAACTGCCGGTTACAATTCCGGTTCGAAATAGGTCCAATGGTTCAAAACTAAAATATGTGTCCCGAACTCGGCCCGGTGAAACCAGTTTAAGGCCCGTTGTGACGTTGTCCACATATCAGTTCAGACCGGTTCAGGCCGAACCAGCGGGCCGGGCCGATGTGGCTATGTCTAAGTTGATCGGATCTGTTGTCACCCGGTCCAGAACACCTACCTGGACCGATTGACTTTGGGTCATTCAGAGCATCAACAATGCTTTGGATCTAGTTTTGCTTATGTGGCATGTAAAAGTCTTGGATGACATGAATAAAATAATATAAAATTGGCAAAATTCACTCAAATGCAGGAGACTAGGTCTTTATTTAAGTCTAAAATAGACTTAATGTAGACCGTGTCTCTTTTTTTTTGCTCCCACATCAGCAGGACCAGTCTATTTGCACTTGCATTGGAGAATATATTTTTTTAGATTGAATCTATTATCTAGGTGACATATAAAGTTTTTGATTGAACCTAAAGCATTGCAGATGCTCTCAGTTGCCAGGTCGACTCGCCGAACTAGTCTGATTGAAAAACTATGACTAAAATCGACATTTTCAATTTCCTTAATAAATAAAAGGAAAAAAGATAAATCGTATGAACTTATGTTATAATGTAAGCAAAATTTCATCCCAAAATCCAAAATTCACCAACATATGCACCGAACTATTAATTTCACATCGACCGAGCGCGTCATCGCTCTATTCACGACCACCACCGCCACCGCCGCCAATCTGAAACCGTCGTGGCGGCTCAATTCACCACTCAGGCCACTCGCCTTTGTACACTCCTCTAGCCGCCGTGTGATGGATTCTCTCTCTTCTGCCGCAACCAACGGAATTGACGACTTTGTGCACATAGAGGACGGGGAACGAGTCTCCGGCGAAGACCACGAGACCTCGCCGAAGAATGTGGTTGTGAATAACGAAATCCCCAATTCTTATGAGAGGAAAGTTCTTCCGGCGGAGCTCTCGAGGAGTGCGGTGATGCTCACGTGCGAATCGGCTGCTGCCAACGGCGTTTGTGATGTTTATTTGGTCGGGACCGCCCACGTTTCTGCGGTAATTTGTTATTGGTTTGATGTTATTCTATTTTTGTTATTCTAATTGTTCACTGCTTTTTTTTGAAACTTCCTATTGAAAGCTTGATTGCTGACATTCGGGCAATGGGGGATTTAGGATATTTTTGGCTGATGTAAGTGGATGAATAGCTGAAGTTGTATATCTTCATAGTGTTGAGGTTGCTGAAAGGAGTGATATATCACGAATAGTTTGTATTTGATTTATCATCGAATAGTTTGTATTTATCATCAAGTTGAAACCAAATATGTATTATGCAGAGTAGATAGAAATTAGGAGCGCTTGTATCTATCAATTAGGGGCTCCTTCAGCTCTTGATAGCTTTTAGGAGCAGTTGGGTAAAGGCTATGAATTGTTCCCATAGTTTGTAATCTAGTTGATATGAGAAGAAAAAAAAAAAATCTCTTTTATCCTCTTAACTAAGTATTTTCTTTTATGAACTAAAACATTGTAATATATTGTTAAATCTATCAAAATGATATTTTTGTTGATGGTTTTTTCTCTTAGTTTCATGTATATGGTTTCTTGGGAACCTTTGTATTTATTTTTGTAATTTGTGTCTTGTGATTTACAGTCCTGTTTTTGTACTTTGCCATAACAAGTGATACATGATATATGATTGAGTAGATTTTGTTTCTTTCTTTTAATCTCCTAGCTTTAAGCCGAAAATTGTGAGTTGTACTTGCTGTTATTTCAAAGTGGAAATAGGTATAGCACTGCCATGGAACACTAAATTGTTGACTTCTTTATGGTTGTTGCATTTCTAGGAATCTTGCAGGGAAGTCGAAGCTGTGATTGATTTCTTGAAGCCGGAGGTGCCTTTTTTTTTTTAAAAGAAAGTTGGAATTCTTTTCCAGATAAAGTTAAAATATAGTACAAGTATTTATATGTAATTTTTACTCTCAATTATAGAAATTTTCCAATATTTGTTGCAGGTTGTATTTTTGGAGTTATGCGCTGGTCGTGTCGCTGTGCTTACACCTCAAAATTTAAAGGTATAAATTGTTTCTTTCATATATTTTCACTTGCTATAATTTTTTGATATCTAGGAATAAATACTAAGTGTTAGAAAACTCTGTGATTTGAGGAGCATGAGTCATGAGTTCATGAAGTCATGATATGCGTTTGTTAATTTTGATTTGGGTTCAAATTAGTATACATGATGCTTTGAGTCAAATTAGAGGTTTGGGGCCAAACTTGAGATTTGACCTTCAATTTCTTTCATAAGGTTGTTTGGTCATTAGATGTTTTAAACTTTTAATTAGCCTTTTTGGGGCCCAAAAAGCTTAAGCTCAGTATACGAGCTTTCTGGAAGATTCAATCGCACATTTTACCTAAAATTGATTTTCGATGTGTTTGACCTAGATACTGAATTAATATTTTCTTTTTGCAGGTGCCGACAGTTGGAGAAATGGTGGAGATGTGGAAGAAAAACCAAAATCCATTTGCGATAATTTACAGCTGGTTTCTCGCTAAGGCATGTCAATATCTTTTGATGTGCTTGTAATGTCATAGACAAAGCATCTTTTGGCCTCTTAAATACCTTTGGACGGTTTCACATACTAAAATTTCTCATTTGTAATTTTTCTCTTGGAAAACAGGTTGCTAGTAAACTTGAAGTTTTTCCAGGGGCCGAGTTTCGTGTGGCATATGAAGAAGCGATGAAGTATGGTGGAAAGGTTATACTTGGCGATCGACCTGTCCACGTAAGCTATTTCACTTTTGGGTTTGTAGTTGTACGACTGTTAAATAACAGGAATTTGTTGTGAATTACAGTGCCGTTGTGACAAATCAATTGCTTGTTCAGATTCCCTTTCTTCGAAATACAGATGATCTCCCTCGTTCATTTTCCTTTTCCTCCTCGATGTTCTTAAATATTTTATTACATTTTATGCATTTTCAGTCATTCAATCTTTAATATCAAATTATTAGCTATACGATGTCTATTTGTGTTACATTAGCTATATTGACTGAATTAACAACTGAAGTGCATCGTGCTTTGGCAGATAGACTTTCTGACCAAAAAAATTTAAGCTGTCTTTTGGCATTTTTACATCACCGTTTCCTACATATTAAATTACCTTGCAAATTTGTGGTTTGCCTTTCTAATTTTGGTTTTTGTAGATCACCTTAAGGAGAACTTGGGCAAAAATGCCTCTTTGGCACAAGACAAAATTGTTATACTCCTTGATGTTTCAAGCAGTTTTCTTGCCGGATCCTGAAGTTCTCAGTAAAGCAGTAAAGTCTTTTACCTTTTAAGACCGACACATTTTCTCTGCATTAACTAAATATTCAAAGTGAAAAAAAAAAAAGTACTTAACATTTTCATTTTTAAGAACTGCATACTTTCAAGCCAAACAATATCAACCAGCTCATTACTCATATGTTATTGTGCAGCTGAAAGAAATGGACGATGTTGACATGTTGACTCTCGTAATTCAGGAGATGAGCAAGCAGTTTCCAACTCTCATGGAAACTCTTGTGCGTGAGCGTGACCAGTAAGCATTTTTTCCCTTTGTTCTCACAAATCGGTTTGTACATGTGCACAATCATTATGGTGCATTTTGTCTTGCATTTTTTTATGTTTGATCCTATGACTTGTAGCTTTCTTCAACTTGAGCTACAAAATAATTCTTCGAAGTTTGAAGTTTAATTTTTCTCTGTTTAGATATATGTCTGCCAAGTTATTAAAAATCGCGAGCGAGCATAATTCAGTGGTGGCAGTTGTGGGAAAGGGGCACCTACCAGGAATCAAGAATAACTGGAAACAGCCTGTTGATGTAAGGNAAATAAACTAGTTTTGCACTTTCTAATTTGTGATGTTAAAAGTACACTTTCTATTTTGTACTCTGTGCAGATGAAGGAAATTCTTTCGATACCGACACGTAAAAACACTATAACTGTGCGAAAGATAATCGGTACTATTGGAGCTACAGTTGCTGGAGCTGCCATCATATCCGGCCTTTATCTCTCCATCAGAAAATAGTCGTGCTATCTTCCACCGCAAAGAATATAACGAGGCGATAATGGCGGATAAAGAGATATATTATACAACAGGTGAAAATGAAGTTGACTGGGTTGTACTATGAATGGTGTTTAGGTCGTTTTTTCACAGTAATACTTGAAACTTGTGAAACTAACATCAAGTTGCTATAAAAAGGAGATTTGTTTTAAACCTGTTGAGTTTTCTTATATCAATATGATGGCTGGTTATGATGTGAAGGCACATCTTTATGGACATTAAATATATTAAAAAAAATATATATTAATGTCCAGCTAGATGAGTTCATCTTCATCATCCTCATTTTGCATGTATAAGCATGCAAATCTTGCATGAACTCCATCATTCAACCCCTCTACTTCAAATGAACGTGAATGACCAATAACAGCTGTTTTATCTCTCTCATTTCTTCTTCATGATTCTCCACTCTAAATAGTAAATCCCATTGTCACTCTCCAAGCCTGAAAAAACAAGAAAAACTCAAACTTTTGTAGCCATGAAAATCACGATATTGACCAAAGGCTCCGGCTTCTCCATGGACGTTGACCCTCGAGAACCCATCCTCCAAATCAAGCGAAAAATCCACGACTTTCTCGGCATCCCCATAGACTCCCAAACCTTAACAATCTTCGATTTGGAACTCATCGACGGCCTCGATTTATCCGATTACCCTCCAATCTCCGACGGCACCGTTGTCCACCTCACCACCACCACCACCAATAACCCCCATTCCCCAACCCTAGCAATCTCGACGAAAATCAGAATCACGATTACATTTCCAAGCAGAAAAGTCGAGATCGAGGTCGATCGAGCCACCGACACTCTCCACACCCTCAAGGAGAAAATCCACATAGTCGACGGCACGCCAATCAAGCGTATGGCACTATTCTTCAACGGAACAGAGATGGAGGACGACGGTTCAACCTCCCGGTGCTTGAGCGACTACGGAATACGAGATGGCTCGGAGGTCGTGGCCCACACGAGGTCAGTTCGTGTGGCGGCTTCGGCGGCGGCAAGGAGGGTCGCGGTGGTGGTGCAGGCGGCGGCAAGCCTAATGGGGGCGGCTCGGATGTCGGTGGAGATGAACGAGTGGTGCCGTGTGGAGGAGATGCGGCGGGCGATGGTGGAGAAGGGGATGTTGCCGGAGGACGAGTACATATTCATTCACAAGCAAAGGATAATGAACGGTGAGCGCAGCCTAAGGTGGCATGGTGTGGAGAGTGGGGACTTTGTGTATGTGTTCAAGGGGAGTGTGAGTAGGGTTGGGGACGAGGGTTTCTAGGGCTGAGTGTTTCTATTTTTGGAAATTGAGATTAAACAAAAGCTTTGAGACTACACTAGACTTGATATAAGCCCCTATAAGGTGTAGTTGCATCTCCCATTAAAACGGAAAATTTCATTTTTAATACTTTTGGAGGATTTTTCCAACACATTTTACACACTCATGTTATGTGTGTGTAATGTATGATGCAAGTTTGTGGGAAACTTAGAGCTATTAAATAAAATTAACCGCTCGTTAGTTCGGTTGGACTCATTAAGGCTCGAGCTTGTTTAGTTAACGAGTTGAGTTAAATTTGACTCATTAAGGCTTCATAATAGAGATTTTTACATAGTTTTCTAAATTTTCACTTTGGTTCAGTTCGTCAATAATGACAAATAAACAACACTTGAACATGTGTAATTATCGATTCGAGCTCATCTCGGCTTAATAATTAGGTTTGAAACATATTCAAGTTTGGCTCGACTCGTTTACACTTCTAAAAGAAAACACCAGGATAGTAAATGTAATTAGTTCCGTCACAATATGCGTGTGCACTTCTGATTAACTCTGAATGCAGTTCATAGCCCAACAAAAAGAAATCACCATTTGAATAATTTACCACGTTGATTTTAACAGCCAATGACTATATACGCCCGATTTGACCATGAATAATTTAACCACACTATTTATGGCCGGCCGCAAGTAATTTTTAATAATGACCGGCTATTTTACATAACCAATTAGTTATATCATGCACGGTCCAAGATTTTTATTCTTTGTAATATGCTTTTATTGAAGTCTGACCACTAAGGAGAATGCAAGTTACAAATGAATTTGAAGTCAGCATTACATGTGCATTCATGACAAATGTTTATTGTTTTTTTTTTTTTTTTTTTAATAAGTAAAAAAT